GAGAAAAAGTTTATTGGTGATAAAATGTTTGAGGGTCTTTATTTTGTCTTTATGTTTGAATGAGTAGGCTGATTACAGATTCATATTTGTATAAAATTAGAAGTTGATGATCCTCTGATTTTTTAGTAGTTCTCCACCATCCACCAGTTCTTGTGTTGGTTCCATTATTATTCCCCATCACTGTATGTGTCTCGCTGTTTTTTTTCTGGGAAAAAAAAAGACCTTTTCTTAAAGACAATGTTCCAGAACGTTAGCAAAATATTTTTTGGTATGGAAAACAGATGGATGTCTACGGATTTTTCAATACCATACTTTTTTCTGGGAAATTTTTTGTTATTATTTCCTTGTTGACTTTTTTTTTTTTCTGAGGCAGAGTCTTGCTCTGTCACCCTGACTAGAGTGTAGTGGTATGATCTCGGTTCACTGCAACTTCTGCATCCCGGGCTCAAGTGATCCTCCCACTTCAGCCTCCCCAATAGCTGGTACTATAGATATGTGCCATCATACCTGGCTAATTTTTGTAGAAATGGGCTTTCACTATGTTGCCCAGGCTGGTCTCATAGGTCTCTTGACCTCGTGATCTGCCCGCCTCAGCCTCCCAAAGTGCTGGGATTACAAGTGTGAGCCACTGTGCCCAGCCTTCGCACTCATTTAACAGCAGCTCAGGAAGGAAACTTTACCATATGTGACCCTCATGTGATTAGAGTGAGCACCTTGAAACCCCCAGGCTTTAAAGGCTATGGAAGTAGCTAAGGGAAAGGCCTCAAGGTAACAGCCGGGTGATGTCCGGAGTCCTGTGAGTATCACAGGGAACTCCTGTCCCAGCTACTGCCTCCTCAGGTCACTGCATACCTGCACCTATAGGAATGGGAGGTCCAAGGCCAGAGACTGCATGGACTCTATTTGCACACAAATAGACACATGCGCCCCAGGTGGAGCCTGGACATTGCTTCTGACAGCTTCCCAGTGAATTCTAAAACAGAGCCAGGGTTGACAGGCACTGGGTAGAGCATTTTTCATTCTCAGGTTCATTAGTGGGAACAATCTCAGACCTTGGGAACTAGTGAGGACTAAGTCACACAGAACTTGGAAGCCTTTTGGCAAAATGCATATTAGGGTGCTCAATAAATAGAAACATATTAACTGTAAGCATTATAGTAAAGATTGCTAAGATTTGTTGAATGCTTTCTAGTATTTATATAATGTGTTCTTATCACAATGCTATGATATATATCCTGTATCATAGGAAGGAAAAGCAATGATAAAACAGGGATATCCACCAGAGTGAACAGGCAAATTTTTGCAATCTATCTATCTGACAAAGGGCTAATATCCAGAATCTACAAGGAACTTAAACAAATTTACAAGAAAAAAAAAACATCAAACAGTGGGCAAAGGATATGAACAGACACTTCTCAAAAGAAGATATTTATGCAGCCAACAAACAAGAAAAAAATTCGTCATCACTGGTCATTAGAGAAATGCAAATCAAAATCACAATGAGATACCATCTCACGCCAGTTAGAATGGTGACCATTAAAAAGTCAGGAAACAACAGATGCTGGAGAGGATATGGAAAAATAGGAATGCTTTTACACTGGTGGTGGGAGTGTAAATTAGTTCAAACATTATGGAAGACAGTGTGGTGATTTCTCAAGGATCTAGAACTAGAAATACCATTTGACCCAGCAATTCCATTACTGGGTATATACCCACAGGATTATAAATCATTCTGCTATAAAGACACATGCACATGTATGTTTACTGTGGCACTATTCACAATAGCAAAGACTTGGAACCAGCCCAAATGTATCATTGATGGAACAAACCCATCAATGATAGACTGGATAAAGAAAATGTGGCACACATACACCATGGAATACTATGCATCCATAAAAAAGGATGAGTTCATGTCCTTTGCAGGGCCATGGATGCAGCTGGAAACCATCTTTCTCAGCAAACTAACACAAGAACAGAAAACCAAACACAGCACTTTCTCACTCATAATTGGGAGTTGAACAATGAGAACACATGGACACAGGGAGGGGAACATCACACACCGGGGCCTGTCAGGGGTTGGGGGGCTAGTGGAGAGATAACATTAGGAGAAATACCTAATGTAGATGACGGGTTGATGGATGCAACAAACCACCATGGCACATGTATACCTATGTAACAAACCTGCACATTCTTCCATGTATCCCAGAACTTAAAGTATAATTAAGAAAAAACCAGATATCTATGCATGTGAGTGCACGTGTGTGTAAAGATTTGATGTAATGTGTGAGTATCCAAGAAAGCTTTACAGAGGAGGAGAAGTGGATTCCAGAGATGGGGTTGTCAGATGTCATAGGCAGAAAAGGCTATAGAGGGAAAGGGAAACTCATATACACTGGTACAAGGGTGTGACTCAACTGAGGCCTAAGAAATGAGATATAAACAACTATGGCTGAGCATGGACCTCCCGGGAGAAAGGAGAGGAAGGGACAGGGGCTGGCAGGAGCAGGGCCTTGAAAGTCCTTGTGTGCAACACAAGGGTGTGGACTTGCTCTCCCGGCAGTGGTTCCTTCTAGGTGTCTCTGAGTGCTGGAAGAATCCATGAATCCTTGTTTCCCGCACACATAGTGTGTAGTAGGGCTGAACTGGTCATGAGTTTCACACATTAGGTTCTTTTTCTAAGTGTACATATTTCCTGATGTGATTAAAAATACGAATTTCCCTTAAGATCAATGCTTACCTAATAATAACTATTATTGGCAGGGCACAGTGGCTCATGCCTGTAATCCCAGCAGTTTGGGAGGCCGAGGTGGGCGGATCACCTAAGGTTGGGAGTTTGAGACCAGCGTGACCAACATGGAGAAACCCCGTCTCTACTAAAAAGAAAAAAAAAAAAAATTAGGGCGTGGTGGTGCATGGCTGTAATCCCAGCTACTTGGGAGGCTGAGGCAGGAGAATTGTTTGAACCCGGGAGGCGGCAGTTGCAGTGAGCTGAAATCGTGCCATTGCACTCCAGCCTGGGCGACAAGAGTGAAACTCTGTCTCAAATAATAATAATAATAGTAGTGATAGCAATAACTGTCATCTACTATTTTCTCCACTGTATAAAAATAACCACTATTTTATGAAGGTGGGTTTTCAGTATTGTGTCCCTTACTCAAAACCCTTGAGAACAAGTGCCTTCTGGTCATGTAGGGTTGTTGAACAGAGGATAGGATCACATTTCAGTTTTAGGGGGCTCACTTTGGTGTGAATGAGGAGGGTGTATTACAGGAAGGGTTTTCAGAGGCTGCAAGACATTTTAGGGACTTAGTCTGAGCTGGGAAGGATGTGGACCGGGCTGTGATGTGACTGTGTGGTGGGAATGGAGCGATTCCCAGAGGTGACGCTGTGACCGTGGAGGGAGTGGAACGTAGAGCACTGTTAGGGGGCAGGAGGGAGGGGAGTTGTGGTTGGCTGATTCTTGCCCCCATTCCCCCAAAGATACCCTAATCCCTGGAATCTGTGAATGTTCCATTACATGAGCCAAAAACAGCACTTTGCAGATGTGATAAAGTTAAGGGTCATAAGATGGGAGGATTATTTTGAATATTCTGGTGGTACCTAAACCCAACCCTATATTTTGTAATTAAAAGTCGGGGGCGGGGGTTAACCTGGTAGAAAAAGGAGATGAGAATGTATCATGGAGGCAGAGGTTGGAGTGATGTGGCCACAGGACCAGGACAGTCAGCAGCTCAGAAGCCAGAAGCAGCCCTTAGTGCACGCTCCCTGAGAGCCCCCAGCGCAAGTGGAGCCCTCCTGCCTCCAACCTCCTGAACATGACACTAATGTTGGACTTCTCACCCCCAGATGTGCGAGAGAATCAGTTGGTGTTTTGTTTTTGTTTTGTTTTGTTTTCTTGAGATAGAGTCTCACTCTGTCGCCAGGCTGGAGTGCCGTAGCATGATCTCAGCTCACTGCAACCTCCGCCTCCCGGGTTCAAGTAATTCTCCTGCCTCAGCCTCCTGAGGAGCTGGGACTACGGGCTTGTGTCACCATGCCCAGCTAATTTTTGTATTTTTAGTAGAGACATGGTTTCACCATGTTGGCCAGGATGGCCTCAATCTCTTGACCTTGTGATCTGCCCGCCTCAGATTCCCAAAGTGCTGGGATTACAGGTGTGAGCCACCGCACCCAGCCGAATCAGTTGTTTTAAGTCACCAAGTTTGCGGAGGTTTATTCCAGCAGCCACAGGACACCAAACCAGGTACCTGTGGCATCTCCTTGTGTCCTGGTCAGTGGACTTGCTGGGTAGGTGCATTAGCCTGGATGGGCTCATGGAAGGGAGAGCAGGTTGGGGGCGGACCCTGTGCTCAGTTTTACGTCCTGCTCCTGAAAGGACTGTGGAGTGTGCGCTTGGAGCTGTCCAGTTGGCAGGGGTGCTGGTCTCTGGAGCTCTTGGGGTGGCTTGAGGCAGGAAGGAAACATTCGCCTCAGGTGCTGGTGAGTGATGCAGACACTGAGGAGTCCTCTGAGTGTGGGGAGTGAACAAATGTGAAATCCAGGTTGAAACCTGGAGATGTCCTCAAATTGTGGTAAATGGAAAAGAAAGTATACTGGACATGACAGAGGAGAGAAACCACAGTGCAGAGGTGGCACCAAGCAGGCTGACTGTGGGTCTGAGGGGACATCCACTGGGGTCCCTGCTAGGTGGGAGCCCTGGGCCTGGACACTCAGGCAGGCTGGGGGTTCCCTCAGTACAAGACCAGCAGGAACACTGTAATTCCTGTGTCCTCATTACCATGGTTTTCATTCACGGCTGCAGGATGGAAAATCTGTACGGAATGCAGGATGATTCCGACCAAAGAGTTCCTTCTGGGATGCCTGGACTCAGGCCCCACTGACAACAGGATGCTGGTTCTCTGGAGTTGATTGTTAGCCATGCCCAAAAGCCACTCCCCTATGGAAACCACTCCGGGCTCAAGGCCTGAGACTGCAGGATCATAACAAGACCAATGGAGAAGTTCAGGGCAAGTGATTTATTAGAGAAAGACGTTGAAACCTTTACATTCTGCAGTGACGATCAGGGTATCATTGAAAGATGGTGGAAACTAGCATTAAAAAGTTTTTACATCTCAGCGATCACATTTCTCTGCTATTTTTCCCTGAAATAGAAAAGGAAAGAAAAGAAGGTGAGGTTGGTCATGTGGCTCCTGGAGACAACAGGTTAACATCCAAGTGGTCGATGGAATTCTGCTCCCAAAGACAATTGGAAGGGCAGAGGCAGGAACCCAGTGTGTGGGGGAAACCAGGGCCTAGGCCTGGGGGCTTCACAGCACCCTTGCTGGTGAGGGAGCAGCCTTTCCTTGCCAGGCCAATAGCCCTGGGGGACCCAAGTGTGAGGCCCAGGGTCTTCACAGAGGGGGAAAGAAGGGGTGGACAGAGCAGCCAGAGGTTATTGTCTGGGCTGTCCCAGGACTTGAAGTCTCCTGTTTCCTGCAATGAGGGACCCAGGGCTGAGAGGCTGGTAGGGCTGAGAGGGCTTCTGGAAAGGTTGGCTTCCAGGAGACTCCAGCCTCCCCATGTGGGAATTCGGCCTCGGGATCCGAGCACCCCTCAGTCCTGAGCCTGCACCTTCCATGAGCATTTGCGGCTAAACCTCAGGACAGCAGCCCAGAGGCAGCCAGGCTGAGAGGCCCCTGGAAAACCTCTGATTTCTTGAGAAAGACAGAGTGACAACATCCCGCTTCCATGGCACTGCAGGAGGTGGAGTAGTGAGGGTCTTGGCCCACCGGCCGTGGTCAGGAGAGCATCGTGGATGAGGAGGAGAGCGTGGAGTCTGAGGAGCTGGGAGGAGCTCCTTCCTGGCTCTGCAGAAGCTGCAGAGAAGCCCAGCCCTCCAGCGCTGCCTCTGCAGGAGGCCTGGCTTTGGGTCCCTCCCTGCCTTCCTCTCCCTGTTCAAGGCTCCCACACCCCCCAGTACATTCCACAGTGACAGTGTGAGGGCCGCTTGGCCTCAGGAAAGTCCCCGGGTGGAGAGGTAGTCATGTTTAGCCCTTCACCACCCCTGCCTGGGCCCGGGCTCACTCCCCATGTCCTCAGCACACTCTGGGGACACGGCATCCAGGCAGGTGACCTGAGGAGGGGGAACATGCAGGAGGCTGTGCGCAGCTAAGCTGAGTTCTGCAGGTGAAATGGAAGCACCCACCCTGTGGCCCCAGGAGACCTTCTCAAATGGCGACCAGCAAGGCAGGTGCCCCACCACCTGTGTCCCTCAGAGAGCAGCAAGCTGACCTCACTTCACACTGTGCCGCTGACCTGGCCACATGAAAGAGACAGAAATTACCAGTGTTTTTGTAATTAGCACTCTCTTCTCATAGGCCATCAGATCCACGCATTTCTTCACTTCCATCTTGGCTGCAACAGCTTCCAGAGGTGCCTTAAATTTGGCAAGTTGGAATTTGAACACAGGTTTTCCAGCTAATAAGAAGCCTGCGATTTCAGAACCAACAGCTTGGCAGACCACTGCATTTGCTGGAGCAAAAGAATAAAAATATAATTTATGTAAGGAAATCAGTGTTTCTCCCATGCCTCCCTGATGTTAGACCAGACAGGAACCCCAGGCTTTCAGGCTTCTGGTTAATAACTATGCCAATGACGTCAGACATGGTTGGCTGTGACTTCCTTGAGGTCACACAGCAAAGGGAAGAGCTAGAACTGGAAAACGAACTTCCTGATCACTCATTCAGTCTTTGTTGGTTTTTTCTTAAGCACACCCATGACTTTCCAAAGCTTCTCTGGATGGATGGCCAACGTTCTGTTTTCTAGATTTGAAAATAATCACTTTTCTCTGCCAGTTAAGTGACACTTTATTAGTCTTGGACATTGGTGAAGAGGAGGTTTTGGGTAATCAAATTTTGAAGTGAATGGTAGAGTCAGAATCCTATCGGAAATTAGAGAAATGAGTAAATCTGGAAAAGAAGAAGTTAAAATTATTAAAATGATGAAGGTGATGTTTTGAGAATAAGTTGTGGGATTTAGGCTTATGTGATCCAATACAGACAGAGCTAAAAGGTAAACAAATTAAAACAAAATCAAATAATGTGAATATAAAATAAAATAATGTGAATCGGTTTTAACACGCATTAGAAGCTTATACAGGAAATTGTAGTTGGCCCATATTCTGCAGCAACATCTAGAATATTTAGAGAGGATGATAGGAGGGAACTGAGGCTCATTCCTGCTCCCACTGGGAATTTTGGAAAGACCTGGAGTAATCATTTTGCTTGGTCTGGAATCTCCATTCCCCTAAGTCTTTTGCAAACATCGTGCATCCAGAAAGTGCCCCACCAGGCTCAACATGACCCCTGACTACGCGACTTCCAACTGTGGGAAGAATTTGGAGAGGGTAGGATCAGAGGTGTCACAGGGAAACAGGGGGAGGTTCAGAAAGGAAGAGGAAAGAGAAAAATCAGAGTCTGGATCGGTCCTGACAGGGGAAAGGAAAGTACCCAAATGAACTGTGGAAAAAAACAGCCAGAATTCATTTTAGAAAAATAGAAGTTCTGATGCTAACCATTGTAGTATTTCTACCACCATTACTGGTAGGACCCTGGAAGATATATTGAGTACTGCTTCTTCTAAGAGTTCATTTGCAGTGTTCCTATTGAGAGAACTAGAGAGCACCGTCTCTTCTTGGACTGAGAGTTCTCCAAGGATCCTTCCAGATGTAACATTTTATGAGTCTGAATTTACAGTGTAAGAAGCTGTGAGCTCAATTGGAACCTAAAGGTCTGGGGAGGAGAATCTCTGATGGTACAGTGATCGGCTTCACATCCACAGCCAGACCCTTGGCACAATAATCCCACTCCATTCCCGTTGCCACTCCCGGCAGAAGCTCTAAGCACCCGTGATAGGAGGAGGCGCGGGGAGGGTGAGCATCTTGCCCACAGTGAAAGGGCTGAGAAGTGGCTGAGCCCAGAGTCACCCCAGACCTCATATTACATCATCTGACACAGATCCCATCCAGGAGTGAAGCTCAGGCAGGATTCCTAACATTTGCCTGCACTGATTTTCTGCAAAACTTCCTAGGTGCTGGGGATTTGATGAAATGAGGTCTGAGCTTTACGAGCAGTTCCTTCAACAAGCACAGGATAAGGTTTGGAATTTTGGTTTGTTCCAGACCCCAACGTTAACCCGAATAGGTGACCTCGTGCTCAGAGAAGGCTGTGTTCCAGGGGCTGGTGCTGGACTCATGACTGATGTACTCACCCCGGTAGCAGCAAAGGGCCAGCGTGAGCAGCACGAGACACACCAACAGCCTCATGGTGGCTTATTCTGCTGTGAGCTCAGCTTTAACCAATGAAGAGTGATTTAGACTCAACCCCAGGAACCTGTGGAGCCGTGGAGCCCAGGGCTATTTGTACCTAAGGAGCCTGGATGGTCCTGCCCACGTGGGCATCTGGCAGGTGATGAGGCCTGGCTTCCAGCCCTCCCTTCCTAGCCAGGGCTGCTGCCATCCATCAGTGTCACGTCCCCATGCCTCCCTGCATCCCGAGTGGGGCGGAGCACAGGAGGGCAGCCCTGCAGGAACTCGGCTCTGTGCTCCAGGTGAGTGTCCAGGTGCCTCTGGCTATGTTCCCTGGAACCTCAGTTTGCTTTTGGGCTTTTGAGGATTATCTCTCTGTTCTTTATGTCAGTGCGAGGGTAAAGGTGAGTTCTCACTTCAGGAGGACAGAAACCGGGGTACAGGAAGCTAGGGGCTGCGGTTTGGTTGTAGGACAGCAGGCATGGGAGAGACCCCACGTTGACCTCCGCTGCATGTCTGACAATCAGCCACACGTGTTTCAGCTGCACACAGATCAGGTCTGAACCAGACCTGTCCTCCCACTCGGCCCCTTCCATCACCACCATCTTTACCACATAGGTACCTAAAACGTAGCTGAATACACTCCACCTCTGGAGGATTTCCATGGGGAAAACAACCGCTCCCCCGTCCTCTACCCTGTCTCACTCCAAGATCTGTGTCTTTGTTTATGGGTGGCGTCGTCAACATAGCCCAGGTTCAAATTTTCTGTCTACTGAAAGCAAGCCTCCCGTGACCTCTAGCCACCCATATCTCCTCACAGGGCTGATGTGATGATTAAATTGCCCAATTCTTTTTATCCAAGGAGCTTCTGGGGTGTCTGGAGGCAAACAGGCATCAGAGATACTGGTCTTCACTTCTAGGCAGGGACGATAATGGAAAGGAAGAGACGGATGAACGGGGTGGGTGGTCACTTCCCTCTAACCCCTGGGCTCAAGTGTTCCACTTCTAACCTAGCTCTGCTGCCTGGGCCATCTCATTGTTGGAAAGCGAAGGCCACCCCCAGCAAAGGCAATAGACACCCTTCTGGCTTCCAGCCCTCCCTTCGTAGCCAGGGCTGCTGCCATCCATCAGTGTCACGTCCCCATGCCTCCCTGCATCCCGAGTGGGGCGGAGCACAGGAGGGCAGCCCTGCAGGAACTCGGCTCTGTGCTCCAGGTGAGTGTCCAGGTGCCAGAGTACTCACTGGGGTGAGTACATGTCATGAGTCCAGCACCAGCCCCTGGCACTGCCCTTCCACTGCAGTGCCACCATTTGGTGAGTAGGAAATCACCAGAAATGTGTCTCTTAAGTGAACACACATTTGAGAAGAGTCACAGCCCGGGACAGAGCTTTCCATTCTCAGCTGTGCAATCAAATCACTTGGGGCTCTTAAAATATACTGACCCGCCCCCTCCAGTTTTCCCTTTCTGAGGATTCTGATTCAGTAGTTCTAGGGCGAGGTCCCATTCCTCTTCTGTTTAAACTGCTCTGGTGGGTCTGATGGGCAGCAGGGCTGAGAACCACCCAGAAAGACCTTTATAAAGGAAGGGGACCTTATGGTCTGTGTCATCAGAGACACCTTGGCAGGTCTGGCTGAGTCCCAGCTGAGGCGACAATGGCTCTCACTTCCATCACCCAAAATGGTGGGGAAGCCCTGATGCCACCTCTGCCTCCAACGCTAAGGAGTGGGAAGGTCCAGCGGCGAAGCCCATGGCTAGGAGGGTTCAGATCCATGTCTATGGGCTATTGAACTGTACGAAAATTACTCAGTTTATGTAAACTCAGTTTTATCATTTGTAAAAGTAGCTTTACAATGGTGCCTACATCATTGGGTTGATAGATGTTCAAATGAGTGTGTGTGTGTATGTGTGTGTGTGTATAAAATTTACCAAGGTCTGGCCAGGCACAGTGGCTCACACCTATGATTCCAGCACTTTGGGAGGCTGAGGCGGGTGGGTCACCTGAGGTCAGGAGTTTGAGACCAGCCTGGCTAACATGACGAAACCCTGTCTCTATTAAAAATACAAAAAATTAGCTGGGCGTGGTGGCATGTGCCTATAGTCCCAGCTACTTAGGAGGCTGAGGCAGGAGAATCACTTGAACCTGGGAGGCGGAGTTGTGGTGCACTGAGATGGCACCATTGCACTCCAGCCTGGGCAACAAGAGCAAAACTCTGTCTCAAAAAAAAAAAAAAAAATTAACAAGGTCTGACATGTAGTAAACTCTCAATAAATGTTGACTACTATTATCTTGTCCCACCTGTCATACATGTCATGGATTGTTACCAGTTCCTAGTTTAAAGCACAACCAACCCTCAAAAAAAATCACTGATTTTCAGAACTACAAGTCATGGGCCACATAAGGACATATTAGTTAACATCAGACCCCACATATGACAGGGGTCCCCTAAAATTATAATACTGTATTTTTACTGCACCTTTTCTGTTTTGATATGCTTAGATACACAAATACTTGTCATGGTATTACAACTGCCTACAGTGTTCAGAACAGTAACATGCTGTACAGGTTTGTGGCCCAGGAGCAATAGGCTTACCTCTTAATAGCTGAGATGTGTAGTAGGCTATGCCATCTAGGTTTGTATAACTGCACTCTATGATGTTCACACAATGACAATTGCCTATGCATTTCTCAGAATGTGTCCCCGTCACTAAGTGACACACAGCTGTCTAAGGAAACCTAGATACACCCCCACTATCTGAAATAAATTGAGGAAACCCAGCTCATGGTCTCTGAGACCACAGAACCAGGGACAGGAATTTAGGTTCTCACAGATGACAAATGGGTGAGGAATTTTCCACATCTGTTGAACAGAACTTGTCCTAACGTGGGCTTGGCCTTCATCTGTATATTCCATTAGGAGGGATGTGTATATCTGAAAGAGGATTGCTGCCCACATACTTTTATCATTCATGTAGCTCTTAACACGCTCAGGGTTTTTTTTAGTTTTCATAGGTGGTACTTTTTATGACTGCTCTACTCCTTCCCTGGTTGGCTTAAAATCTTCTCATCTCGGCTGGGTGCGGTGGCTCACACCTGTAATCCCAGCACTTTGGGAGGTCAAGGCAGGTGGATCATTTGAGGCCAGGAGTTTGAGACCAGCCTGGGCAACACACAAGACCTTGTCTCTACAAACAATTTTTAAAATTAGCCAGGCATGGTGGTGGGTGCCTGTATTCACAGTACTCAAGAGGCTGAGGTGGGAGGATTGCATGACCCCAGGAGTTTCAGGCTACAGTGAGCCCTGATTATGCCACTGCACTCTAGCCCAGGCAACAGAGCAAGAACTTGTCTCTAAAAATGTGAAATAAAATAAAATAAACGTTTTTAATGCAAAAATAAGTATGTGAAGTGAGGGATGTGTTAATTAATTTGATTGTATTTGATATATGCATTGTAAACATACATCAAAACATCATATTGTGTGCCATAAAAATACACAATTTTAGGTCAGGTGCAGTGACTCATGCCTACAATCCCAGCACTTTGGGAGACTGAGCTGGGCAGATTACCTGAGGTCAGGAGTTTGAGACCAGCCTGACCAACATGGCAAAAACTTGTCTCTACTAAAAATACAAAAATCAACCAGGTTTGGTGCTGAGTGTCTGTAATCCCAGCTGTTTGGGAGGCTGAGGCGAGAGAATGGCTTGGACCTGGGAGGCGGAGATTGCAGTGAGCCAAGATCATGCCACTGCACTCCAGCCTGGATGACAGAGTGAGACTCTGTCTCAAAAAAAAATTATATATATAAAAAATATATATATTATATATATTATATTAGCACTGTAATATAGTGCTATATAAATGCAAATATTTATATATTTATATATATCTAAATATTTATCTATCTATATATCTAACATAGTGCTAAATAAACGCTATATATGCAAATATTTTATATATAATATATATACACACACAATTATTTGTCAATTTAAAATAAAAAAATTGTATGGAGAGAAACATGATGTCAACAATATTCTCTTCAAACAGAGGGCAAAATCCATATTAAAAGATAAATCCATGAACATAAATTGGTCATTATTTATAGATAGTTATTCAACTATCAGGGAAATCTAAGACAATCCACTAGAAAAACTCTCAATATTGATTTGCCACCACAGCTGCCAGCATGCATGCACATGAGCACAGACCCTGCTGCCACTGCCCTGATGAAGTGCTTTGGCAGAGTGTTGTTGCCAGCAGCCTGGGAACACCTCCACCTGACCAGCACAGCAGGTGCTTAACCTCAAGGGGCCAGAGAACAAAGCCATGGGCCTGGAACCAGGCCTCCAGGGTTAGAGCAAGCAGCCCAGGAGTGCTGAACTGAACTGAACCTTGGCCTTCTGAAGTCTTCCAGAAACAAAGCCAGTCAATGAACCCACCTGATACCACAGTCAAACCCTCAAGGGCATCAAAGAATATAAAAGAAAAAAAACGGGCCGGGTGTGGTGGCTCACACCTGTAATCCCAGCACTTTGGGAGGCCGAGGCAGACAGATCACAAGGTCAAGAGATTGAGACCATCCTGGCCAACATGATGAAACTTCATCTCTAATAAAAATACAAAAATTAGCTGGGCATGGTGGTGTGTGCCTGTAGTCCCAGTTACTCGGGAGGCTGAGGCCCATCTAAGGGACAGCAACTTCAAAGATTAAAAGAGCATCACTACACACAGATGAGAAAGAATCAGCACAAAACTCTGGCAACTCAAAAAGCCCGAGTGTCATCTTACTTCCAAATGACCACACTAGTTCCCCAGCAATGGTTCTTAATCAGCTCAAATGGCTGAAATGACAGACATAGAATTCAGAATCTGGATGGGAACAAAGATCAATGACATTCAGGAGAATGCCAAAACCCAATTCAAGGAATCTAAGGAATCCAATAAAATGATACAAGAGCTGAAAGACAAAATAGTCATTTTTAAGAAAGAACCAAACTGATCTGATAGAGCTGAAAAACTCACTACAAAAATTGTGTATTACAATTGGAAGTATTAACAACAGAATACACCAAACTGAGGAAAGA